GCTCGGGCCCGGAGGGGGGCGCCAGCCTCCAGCCGGAGGAGAAAGAACATGGCGGGCGCGGCGGGACCTGGGACCTGCCCAGGGGCAGCGGGAGGAGATGGAGACGATTCGCTCTACCCAATCGCGGTTTTAATCGACGAGCTACGCAATGAGGACGTGCAGGTACTGGGCTGGGGCCGGGGAGGCGAGGTGGGCCAGGCCGGGCGCTAGGAAGGCTGTGGGGAGCTCGGCGCCGGGCCGGGGGAGGCCCGGGGGCGGAAAGGGCCGGGGACTCGCGGCAGAAACTTGAGGGGAGCGGGGAAGGACCGCTAGAGGCTGTGGTGGCGCGTCGCTGCCCTGCCCGGAACTCTCCAGCAACCCTCCACCTGACCCTCTGTGGCGTCAGCTTGGCTCCCGGAGGGTCCTGGGCGGTTGTCGGAGAACCGGCTTCCGGGCGGTGCGATGGCCACGCCGCTTCCAGCGGCGCCTGCCAGCGGGGTCTGGAAAGGGCTGCGGGTCGCCGGACACCACGGGGCCCTTTGAGGTGCAGCCCGGTGCTTCTTGGCTTGAGAAGTGTCCAGGCTTGTTGGGTAGAAGGAAGGTAGGATGGCTGACTAATCGAGGTGAGTTATGTCAGCTCTGGTGGAACTTTTCTTTGAAAAAGAAGTTTTATTAAACCGTTCCACCTGCCTCACCACTGGTGAAGTTCTCTCTTTTTAAAACTTATCTCACTTTCTGTGTACTGTGTTCCTTTTCATTCATTTCTCTTCAGGACTCTTCAGACTCCTAGGAAATCTTCCCCTGATGTGGGGCATGTTAACACTCCTCCTGAGGTTTCCAGTGAATAAAATTGCTCTCATTCTTAGCTGTCATTATTTCATCGGTTTGCATCTTTTATCTTCAGGTCTTAATTGCAGCTATTTCCTTCGGTGTTCTTGTTTCCATTTTCTTTTCTAAAGCTCCGTCTTAACAGTATTAAGAAGTTATCAACAATTGCTCTAGCACTTGGAGTGGAAAGGACACGAACTGAACTGCTGCCCTTCCTTACAGGTATGTGAATCCAAGAAAGGCCTTGTAGGCCATCGGGTGGCATGGAGGTTAGGGCAGCTAGGTCCCACATCACTGACTCTGCCATTCCAGTCCTGGACCTAGGAGCTTGGAAATCATGCCATGGGTGTGTTTGTTCCCAAAATCCCAAGAGGAGACTGGAGAAGGGATTGTGGTGTGGTCATGGTGGGGGGGGGTGGTTTGCATTTCCCCTTTCTCTCTGTTTTTCTCCAGTGAGTGCTGCTGCCCTAAAGCAAAAACTAAAAAAAGAAAAAAAAAATTAAGGCATAGGTTTTTCCATTTTCCAGTGGTTTTTGATGGTGGGGCACGATGGGAGGGGGTGTTTTCTGTAAGATTTTTGCCACAGGGCATGTGTGCTTGCCACAGAGAGACCGTGAGAGGAAAAGTGAGAAAATACCCTCTAAGGAGAATAGCTCCAACACAGTCCCTTCTCCATTCTGTTGGGATTTTGGGCATGCACGCACATGGGCCTGGCATGATTTTCAAACTGCCAGGTCTGGGACTCAAACCATGGTCGGCCCTGTGGGAGTCCAAGGCCTTAATCACCATGCTACCTCTTACCCCTTTAATACTTTGGTTTTTGCATTTGTTAACCATAGATAGCATCATTAAATATTAAACTGAGCTTGGTACTTTCTGTGCAAAAAGATGAACAGAACACAGCATATTGAAATGTTTTAGCCAGATATATTTAAATATTAACTATTAAACTAATGGGAAACTAATTGATATGGAAGTATGAAATCTAATTCATTCTGCAAGATAGATCCAGGAAGACTGTTGGTAGAAGAAAAGGAAAAAAAATGCTGTTAGGATTATCTGGGTCATCTGACTAGCTACATATTGAGTCCATTACTAGGTTTGTGTGAGTGTCCACCACTAGGCCAGCTCTCCTCATTGATGAGTACCTGGTTGTTGTCATTTCTAGATACAATTTATGATGAAGATGAGGTACTCTTAGCACTTGCTGAGCAGCTAGGAAATTTCACAGGCCTGGTGGGAGGTCCTGACTTCGCCCATTGTCTGCTGGTGAGTCCTTACATGCTGCCTATCCCTCTTCTATAACTGTTGCGGTATAAATGACACATTGTTTGGTGATAGGTACAGTGCAGTATATTTTATGCAGATCTTTTTATGGATAGATAGCCATAAAGTTAGCTAATGAGAGAACAAATAATACAGATACTTTGGATTCAACCCTTTTTTTTGACTAAGAATAATACAAAAAGTTTCTGTTTTCTACCTCTGTAGACTTACTAGTTTTGAGATGGGGATAAAATAGATTTGATTATTTTTATGGTCGTTTTCACCTTGACATTGAAAGTCTTTATTCTCGGGACCAGCAGGTTATGTGATGATTAAGGTGCTGGACACTCCCTCATGGCCGACCACGGTTTGAGTCCTGGACCTGGTGGCTTGCTTTCTCTCTCTTTCTCTTTCTCTCTCTCTCTGGTCAAATTTAAAAAATAAATGAATGAATAAATAAAGTTAAATAAATAATTATTTTTTAAGAGGTTTTTGCTATAGGGTGTGTGCGCTCACCAGACAGAGACAGAGAGAGAGAAAGTGAGAAATCACCCCCCAGGGGGGTTGGCCACGCCGCAATCCCTTTTCCTCCATTCTCCTCTCGGGATCTTGGGCACGCACACACACGCACCTGGAGTGAGTTTTAAGCCACCAGTTCCGGGACGCAACCCGCTGTTGACTATGTGGGAGTCCAGCAACATAGCCATTATGCTAACTGCTGGTCCCAAATAATTCTTTTTTTAAGAATGAAAATCTTTATTATTTAGCAATATTTTGTCTTTATTAATATAACTTTTGCTTCTCATTTATTTTGTGAATTTGAAGTCGGTTTAGGTTAGTTAATGTTTGAGATCCTACTATCTCAGGCACATTGTAAGTTACAATGTTTAAAGAAGACCATCCTGAATGGAATGACTTTATGTGTCAACAAATAATTACTGTACAGTCTTAAATGGAAAAATTAAGAGCATATGTAAAGTTCCCAAGAAATAGGTAGAAAGGAAGAGATTAATTTAGGGTGATTTGAGAAAACCTCTTAGGAAATAATATCAGAACCAAATTTTAAAGAATGACTAGGAATTCAGCAACAGGCAAGGTAGCAATGTTTCCTTCAGGACTTTAAATACTATCTATTGTATATGATGCTTACTCTGTGATTTCAACCTTGCTGTGGAACTCCAATGACAGGTAGATTGATACAGATATATAGTGATAGATCAATATACATATGTATATATATTTATCTTGGTCTGTGTATATTTGCCTATGATTTTTGTATTTGTTTTTCAAACAGGTATTTCTAACTTAACATACCTAAAACAGAACTCAAGTTTTTTCCCAAGATATTGAATACAATTCTTGCTCCTAGCCTAGACTGTCGTAGTATTTCCTCTAGATTACTGTGGTACCTTCCCATCTAATTACCTTCCACCTTTGCCTCCCATTCCTGAAGTTTATTCTTCATTCACAGGTAACTCACTCCCTGTGACTGTTCTTAGAAGATCCTAACTCTGAGGACCTTTCTTGACCTGCCTTTATAGGCTTATCATGTATTAGGCTTCCTCTTGATTACGTCTTTTTAAATTTTTTTTGGAGAGGTTTTTGCTATAGGGCGTGTGCGCTCGCCAGACAGACAGACAGAGACAGAGAGACAGAAAGTGAGAAATCACCCTCCAGGGGGGATGGCCACGCTGCAATCCCTTCTCCGTTCTCCTCTCAGGATCTTGGGCACGCACGCACATGCGCCCAGCGTGAGTTTTAAGCCACTGGATCCGAGACACGAACCGTGGTCGACTACATGGCAATCCAGCGACATAGCCATTATGCCAACTGCTGGTCCCTTGATTATGTCTTTTCATTTGCATTTTTTTTTTCCTGTTCTTTGAATAAACTAGGCTGGCTGGTTTTTTTTTTTTTTGTAGAATTTTATTTAGCTTTATTAATTAGTTAATGTATTTTAATTTGACCAGAGAGGGACTGAGTGAGAAAGAGAGAGAGAGAGAAAGTAAGAAAGCAAGCCACCAGGTCTAGGACTCGAACTATGGTCACCCTTGTGGGAGTCCAGTGCCCTTAACCACTACACCACCTGCTGGCTCCAAAACTAAGCTCACTGTTGCCTTAAGAGCTTTGCCTGAACTTCCTCTGTCAGGCTCCTTATCTTTAAAACATCAGCTTCTAAGCATCTCCTTCAGAGAGGACTTCCCTGACCACCCAACTTGAAATGGACTTCTAGTTACTCCTTATTATATCATCCTATTCTGTTGGGTCATCAGAAAATTCATGACACATTTTTGCACAGAAAAGCAGAAAAATACATCACGACTTTTCCTACTCATTATTTCTCTACAGAGTACTCATCATCATCATCTAATCATTTTCTTGATTGGTAATACCTTTTTCTATTAGATTGTAATCTTCACTACTTTAAGGAACCTCTTTGCTTGTTCTGCATCTTTAGTACTAGACTACAAATATAATTAAAGAATGTGTTTCAGAGGCATGGAAGCATGAAACATGTAGGGTCCAAGACTGGGAGAGTAGCCCAGCCGGTTAAGGTGGCTGGATCCCACATGGCTGAATTTGACCCAGTGACTTGAGAGGCAGGCAGTGGCATGTGCATGCATGCCCCAAATCCCAAGGACGGAGAAGAAAGAATTGCTAGGTAGTCATCCCCCCGGGGTACTTTCTTACTTTCGCTCTCTCTTTTTCAAGTGTAAACAACCCATAGCAAAAATACTAATAAATAAACAAATTAATTAAATAAAGCTCTATGGGAGAAAAGAAGACTCAGAGAGTGGACAGAAGTGGGTCATCAGGGGGTCAGTGAAAAGAGGCATGAGTTTAAATCCAGAGACAATTCTTAAGTGAGTCTTGATCTCAGGAGCTCAACCTTACCTTGTAGTAGTGATTGGAGGTACTGTGTGGGTGGAGGTCACAGTAGGCAGATACAGATCATGAAAGCCCTTGGCAAGTAAACAGTATCTTCTCAATGGGCTTCTGAAATACCTACTAGGAAAGCTGAGTATTATCTGTTTCTGTGTATCAAACAATTTTGAAATGTATCATTAGTCAGATACACTTCTTTCTTTTGACTCATTATTCTTTTGTTTCACTCCTGGTTAGTTCTACATGTGTATTTTGTGCTTTAACAATTTGCAGTGCATGGCATATGCTAAATCTACCTAAACCAAATATAAATCAAGAAAGAAGAGTTCAGAGAACCAGCCTGTTTCCACTTGTCACTGGACCATATTCTGTTCAGTTACTGATCCTAGTCCATGCCATCAATCCTCTTGCTTTCTTCTATTAGATCATCGGACAAGTCATTTTCGCATAGAAAAACAAAAAATATATCATGACTTTTCTGATAATGTAATATTTCTGAAAGTGGCAGGCAAAGTCTCCTACCTTCTCTGTGATCTTCACTTTATTGTTCTGTAAAAACTCATACTCTGGCTCCTGGAAAGGTTCTAAATATTCTGAAAATAGTAATTTAGTACTTAGTCTTTTATAAGTTATATAAGTTGATTACATGGGGCTAGTGGACAGGAGTTGCTTGCACCTCCAGGAATGGTAGAATAATACTCCAAAGGCTGTGAACTGAGCACCCTGACAGGAGGCCATCATGTAATTGTAGTGTCCAGTGTTGGTCCTATTTTTGTGCTTACCCTTGAGGGAATCTAAACAGTCTTATCTGAATATGGCTATTTAATTTCACTTTTTTTTTTCCCCCATTACTGGAAGGTGCATATGCTCACAGAGAAGGGGTAGAATGAGAACGATATCCATCCCCCACAATGGGACATGGTCATACCACAATCCTTTTTCCTCCACTCCTTCCTGCCAAGATTGTGGGCTTACATGCCCATGCCCCTGGTGTGTTTTGCAGGCCTCTGGGGCAGGGATTTGAACTATGGCTGGTCACATGGGATCCAGGTCCCATAACCTCTGTACTATGGGGCTGACCCTACATATCTTTTTTTTTTTTTTCTTCTTTGGGAGAGGTTTTTTTACTATAGGGCGTGTGCGCCCGCCAGAAAGTCAGAGACAGAAAGCAAGAAATCCCCCCCTAGGGGAGATGGCCACGCCGTAATCCCTTCTCTTCCATTCTCCTCTCGGGATCTTGGCCACGTATGCATACGCACCCGGTGTGAATTTAAGCTACCAGGTCCAGGACTTGAACTGCGGTCGACTACATGGAAGTCCAGCGACATAGCCATTATGCTAACTGCTGATCCCAGATCCTACATATCTTTAAGCCTTTTAATTCAGCTCACACTAATATTAATATTGTGTCAGGCCTCTTCTACTGTGTCATTTGTAGACACCATCTGGGAACTGCCATCTGGGACATGAGATTTTGGCTCTTTCTCCAGAAGTCGTGTCTTCAGATTGGCCACACCATATGTTATCACTGTGTGAAATGATAGTAACCTTTTGGTAGATGTAGCTAACATTCCAGTTACCTCTACTGTACCTTCTCCCTTAAGTTACTGTAAAAGATTCATAAATATGAATCAAACCTGATTCAGTAATTTTCTTTTCTGCTTTTCCTTTTTAATCTGTTCAGCCCCCTTTGGAAAGCCTGGCAACTGTGGAAGAGACTGTGGTTCGTGACAAAGCTGTGGAATCCCTGAGGCAGATTTCTCAAGAGCACACTCCCATTGCATTGGAAGCTCATTTTGTACCTCTGGTGAAACGCCTAGCAAGTGGCGATTGGTTCACTTCACGCACATCTGCATGTGGTTTGTTCAGCGTTTGCTATCCCAGGGCTTCAAATGCCATCAAAGCGGAAATTAGACAGTAAGATGATGGTGCACCGTCTTTTGGTTATTTGGGGTTATTGCAGGTTTATAGCTGACAATTTGTGTAGTACCCTCTTATTAATGAGTGGCTGATGCCATCCATGATAGTGGGATTGATGACATAATTTTTTATCCAGTTGAATATATTAATGTTTTATTTTTATTACTTTTTACTTTTTGTGAACATGAGTCAAATTTTTTGTTCCTTGCATTTGAAGTACTCTTTGTTGACACTCTTGGTCTGAGATTCTTTGTTATCATCTTTAACTAGTACACAGCTGCGACCAACCACTTTCCTGGATTTTCCCTCTCTGTCAGTTTTACAGAGGCCTGCCTATTCACCTGGTTTCTTTCTGTCATCCCAGAAAGAAAGGTTGATGTGTTGCTCAGCATAAGGGGCCTCCATCAACTCAACACCAATGTAGTTTCATCACAGTTGCTTGAAAGCACATGGCACTAAACTTTGCTATCTTCCCAAATTACACGTGGTAAGCCACTGTGGATGAGGGCAGTCACCTGACCATCACCTTCTGAAAAGCAGTATTAACGTCTATTAGGAGCAGTGCCTTCCTTGGCTGTGGCAGTGGGTACTGTCAGGGGAAAACTTGTTTTTGTTGTTCTTTGGGTAGAAGCTTAATCCACTGGTGTTTGTAAGAGAATAACCTCTAAAATGTCTGCATGTGTTGAGGCATTTTTGTTTGTTTTTAATTTATGAAAGAGCATGTGTGCGTACATGATAGAGAAAGAGAGAGATACCATTGGCATGGTCTGGTCATACCATGATTCCCTCCCTCTAGACCTCTAGCCTGTCTGAACTTGAGCACTCTGATGTGTACCAGTGTGTTTCAGGCTGACTTGAGGGTTAGTGCCTTATTTATCACGTGGGGTTTGGCTTCTCTTGAGCAACACGTTACTGCTGCACCTTAAACTGGCCTCAGAGGCATACTTAATTGCATTATATTTCATTGGAAATTCCTTCTTTATTTTATGCTGCAGGCACTTCCGTTCCTTGTGCTCTGATGATACACCAATGGTACGACGTGCTGCTGCTTCCAAATTGGGTGAATTTGCAAAAGTTTTGGAATTAGACAGTGTGAAAAATGAAATTGTTCCATTGTTCACTAATCTAGCTTCAGATGAACAGGTAAATTAGCACTTAAAAGATACACATATGCTCCTCTAAAACTTTAAGGATTTCTTTGGTAGATGTTGGTTCTGATGTTGAGATACTTTTTACAAAATTAATACTTCATGGGACTAGCAGTTAGTGTAATGGCTATGTCGCTGGACTCCCATGTAGTTGACCGCAGTTTGAGTCCCGGACCTGGTGGCTTAAACTCACGCCGGGTGCATGTGTGTGTGTGCGTGCCCAAGATCCCAAGAGGAGTATGGAGGAGAAGGGATTGCGGGGCATGGCCATCCCCCATGGGGGGTGATTTCTTGCTTTATATCTCTCTGTTTCTCTCTGTCTTTCTGGTGAGCACACGCACCCTATAGCAAAAACCTCTCCAAAAAAAAAAGAAAAAAAAAATTAATACTTCATTTTGGCCTGGATGAAATGTGATATGACTTATTTTGGTGTCCTTATTTTCTTTCCTAAGCAGACCATGTTTTTCTCTGTCACATTAGTAGCTATTAAAAGAAGAGGGAGTCAGGGAGAAATGGGAACCATAATTAGAAAGGAAAGCCAGAGCTGCATCAAGGGATAACATACCTTTGGGAATTAACCGTCTTCATTGTAGTATGGGGAGGAGTAACATTTCCCGGAATCTTTGACTCTGAGATAAAGCATAGAATGTGTTAGAAAAATTATTTGATTCTCTGCTTCCTCTATACTGGTATATTAGCATAATAGTAATTTTCCCCCCTAGTTTTGCTGTAGGTACATATGCTCATCAGGGAGAGAGAGAGAGAGAGAGAGGGAGGGAGGGAGGAAGGGAAGAAAAGAGGGAGAGAGGGAGAGAAGGAGAGAAGGAGGAAGTGAGAAGTTGTTCCTCTTGGGGAGATGACCATGCTGCAGTCCCCTTTCCTCCATTGTTCTCTTGGATTTGGGGCACGTACATTCCTGGCGTGATTTTCAAGCCACTAGGTCTAGGACTTAAACCATGATTGGCCATGTGAGAGTCCAGCACCTTAACCACCATGCCATCTGCTGGCCCCAACATACTGTATTTTACTTTTTAAAAAATAATTGTTTATTTAATTTTATTTATTATGATTATTTTAAAATTTGCAAAAGGACGTGTGCACTCACCAGAGAGAGACAGAGAGAAAGCAAGCTGGCAGGTCTGGGACCTGAATTGCTTTTGGAAATGTGGGAGTCTAGCGCCCTAACTATGATACCACTTGCTGGCCCCAACATATTTTATTTTTGACACCTAATACCCAGAACCTTACCACGTAAACATGTGGGACTTGTCACATTTCAGGTACTTATTAGACACTTGATAATATTGGTTACATATGGGAAGGTACAGGTTTAGAACCCTTGATTGGGATATTGATTATATTTTTTATGATATTTATTATTTTCTTTTGCTTTCAATATTTTCTGCAAAATGATAGATCTACTAATCTAGAGCAAGGCCTTCTATGAGGCCTAGAGGTAAATATTTTCGGCTTTGTGGGCCATTCTCTTAAACTAATGAACTCTGTATTTACAGTGCAAAAGCACTCATGGACAGTGCATAAAGTAATGGTCATGGCAGTCTTCCAATAAAACATATTTATAAATATTAGCTGTATCCTGGATTTGGCCAGTATTTGAGATTTAATATTTTGAGTGATTAGGACATTTCAAGAGGGTTTTTTTTTTTTTTTTTTTTAAATTGAACACTTAGAGCATACAGTGTAAAGAAATCATAGGAGGATCCTGTTCTCATGTAGTTTACTTTTTTTTTAAAAAGAGTTAGTTCTTTTAACTTTATTTATTTATTTATTTATTTATTTTTTAACCAGAGAGGGGCAGAGTAAGAGAGAAAGAGAGAAAGTAAGAAGGCAAGCCGCCAGGTCCAGGACTCAAACTGTGGTCGGCCATGTGGGAGTCCTGGGAGTCCAGCACCCTTAACCACCATGCCACCTGCCAGACCCCTGCATTTTACATTTTAATGAAGAAAAAATTATTATAAACAAACATCAGGGATAAATGTAGTTATGAAAATTAAGTAGAGTGATGTAACAGGGAATTTTTTAATACTGGCTCGTCAAGAGAAGGACTGACTCTAAAGAGGTAACATAAACTGAGTCACGAAAGAAAAAAAATCCTGTCCTTGAACGTCAGAGCTCCATGAAAGGAATTCCAAAAGAGAGGGCACATAGTATAAGACCTGAAGATTGGAACATCATGGTTGAAAGAAACTGGTAAGAAATAAAGTTGGAGAAAAGAGGCAGGGGCCAGGTCATAAGCGGGCCTTTCAGCTACAGTGTAGAGTTTAGATTTTCTCTCTTTTTTTGTTTGCTAGAGTGTGCATGCACTCATAGAGACAAGAGAGGGAGACAGCAATTGTCACTTGGCAATGCAAGATTTTGGGCACACATGCCCAGCATATTTTTCAAACCGTTGTGTCCAGGACTTGAACCACACAGTCAGCTATGTGGAATCCAATTGCCTTAATCTCCACACCACCTGCTTGTCCTGTTCTTCTGTATATTTCTTTACAAGTCATCTCATGTCTAAACTCATGTTACTGCCATAATATATCTGTGGTGCTCCACAGGCTGGGACCACATAGGAGGCCTGGGTTATAAAGACCGCACAGTGGTGAGTGCCTGTATTCTCTAGGAGACAGGGCCTTGGGCAGCATAGTACAACTCTGTCTAAAAAAGAGCTGGGGACTAGACAGTGGTGCAGTGATACAACATGAAGCTTTGCGAGACAGACCCACATAGAAATCCTGTTTGTGTCCGATGAGCTCCCTGAGTGCACTGCATATGTGTGTGCCCAAGGTCCAAGCTGACTGAGGGTAAGTTGTGTCATCAGAGATGCTCTTGGGGATGCTGTCTTACTTTATGTGTCTTTCTCACTCATAGAGTAAATGAGTTTAAAAGAAAAAACAAGCCATGCTGGGTGGTACATGCTTGTGGTCCCAGCTTCAGGGCTGGGGCAGGGCTATGGTGACATAGCAAGACCCTGTCTTAAAAATCATTTGTACTCTAGCCAAGGTCATTGCTTTGCTGGTCACTCATAGATCAAAGTTATTTTGATCTTTATGTCTTTGACATGCCATTGCAAGCAAATGGAGCAGCTGTTTCAAGATAAGGACATAAAATCGCATATAGCATGGCTTTCCCCCCCTTTTTCTTTTTAAGTAATATCTACAACAGCATTGTAGATGTCTATATACCACACACAGTGTCCATGGCTCCCAGTAAATATTATTGTCTAATAGAAATTTTTTAAAAATTTTGTTCATTTAGGATTCTGTGCGCCTCCTAGCTGTGGAAGCTTGTGTCAGTATTGCCCAGCTATTGTCTCAGGATGACCTTGAGGTCTTGGTGATGCCTACGCTTCGGCAAGCAGCAGAAGATAAATCTTGGCGGGTTCGCTATATGGTAGCTGACAAATTTTCAGAGGTAAAATAATTGCACTATCATTTTAATTTTTTTAAAGAATTTTTTTAAAAAAATTAACTTCATTTATTTATTTACTTATTTTCATTTGACCAGAGAGGGACAGAGCAAGAGAGAGAGAGGGAAAGTGAGAAAGCAAACTGTCAGGTCTGGGACTTGAACCGCAGTGTGCTGTGTAGGGGAAGTCCAGTGCCCTTCACTACCATGCAACCTGCTGGTCCCTGCATTGTCATTTTAAAGTACTAAATTCAAAAACAAAATAGCCAAAAAACCACAAATTGCTGTTGTAACAGTTTCTTAATTCTTTTGAATGGAAAGTGTAGTGGCAAAATAATAGGCTTGAAGATCATACTATTTTGATTTGTGGCTGTTAAGTGTTTAGTTAATATACATTAAAACCTGTACAATTCTTTTATAGCTCCAGAAAGCTGTGGGCTCTAAAATCACCCTCAATGACCTCATCCCTGCCTTTCAAAACCTGCTTAAAGACTGTGAAGCTGAAGTCCGAGCAGCTGCTGCCCACAAAGTGAAAGGTTAATTTCAGTTATGTGGTCACATTTATCATTCATTTTGGTGCATTTTTAAAAATGCCTGTGAACTTTGTGTGTTTTTTCTTTTAGGATATGTTTTTCAAATAGAGATGAATTCAGTGTATGGAAATGTAAATGTCACATTGTCATATAAAACCTCTCCTCTCCTTTTACATTTAAAACTGATCATTTCTTGTTTTTTTTTTTTTTTTTTTTTTTTTTGTAACCTTTTCAGGTTGGATTGGTGTGGTTCTTACTCAGTGGCATAAAGACTTAACAAAGAAGTATTTTGAATAAGAGCCATTTCCTCCCTTAGAGCTTATTTACTTAAACATATGAATTGATTGAACATGTAGCTGCTTATAAATCTGGCTAAATTTCCTCATTAAGCTTCACCAAAGTATTACTGTTTTCTGTTTTTCTTATAGAACTTTGTGAGAATTTGCCTATTGAAGGTAGAGAGACCATAATTATGAATCAGATTCTGCCCTATATAAAGGTAAGCCTAACTTCAGTTTGTTTCTCAATGCTCTATTTGAAGGTAATGTTTATCTCAGTTGTTTTCGCTTTTTTTCTTATGGTTTTACTTTGAAGCTCTTCGAGTTTAAAGGTAGATAAAGGATAAAGGGGACAGATATGTGAATGTAGGACATTGTTATTTATCACTTTCTACCACCTGTTTTAATTGTAAAATGTTTATTGGTGCTTTGGTTTATGTTACCTTTACCAGATGGTCTGAGAAAACACTACCAACTGATCGATAGTATTGTTTTAGAATTTTTAAAAATTCTTTTTCTTTTTTTTTAAAAAAAAGAATTATTTATTGAATTTTATTTATTGTAATTATTTTAAAAATTTGACAAGAGAGAGACAGAGAGAGGGGGAAAGTGAGAAAGCAAGATGCCAGGTCTAGGACTTGAACCGTGATCACCTGGACCACCATGCCACCTGCCAGCCCAAATCCTTTTTTCTTACTGACAATAGGGTATGTTTGCATATGAGAGAGAGAGAAAGAAAGAAAGAGAAGTATCCTCTACAGGGTCTGGTCACACTATGATACCCTTTCTTTAGTCCCTCAGCCCATTGTATCTTGAACATTCACACAGGGGCCCAGCATGTTTTAGGCTCACCAGACCAGGCATTTGATCTGGCTCTTCTTTAACTTCTGCACTATGGATCCAGTCCAAAATATCTTTAAATTCCTTGGGAGATGGCTTGGAAGTTTCTGTGTCTTGCAACTAAGAAAGCCTTTTAATTTTAATTTTATTTTAGGAATTAGTATCCGATACCAATCAACATGTCAAATCAGCTCTAGCTTCTGTAATTATGGGATTGTCTACCATTTTGGGCAAAGAGAATACCATCGAACATCTTCTACCTCTTTTTTTAGCTCAGTTAAAGGATGAGGTAAGTTCAGCTATAAATTCTATTGCCTTTGATAGTCACTGATTTTATTTGTTTGTTTATTTATTTATTTATTTTTTTCTCCTGAGAGATTTTTGCTGTAGGGCGTGTGTGCTCGCCAAAAAAGACAGAGAGAAAGAGCGACAGAAAGCAAGAAATCACCCCCCAGGGGGATGACCACACAATCCTTTCTCTTCCGTTCTCCTCTCAGGATCTTGGGCACCCATGCACACATGCCCAGTTTGAGTTTAAGCCGCCAGGTCCAGGACTCAAACTGTGGTCAACTACATGGGAGTCCAGCGACATAGCCATTGCACCAACTGCTGGTCCCAGTCAATGATTTTATTTGATTTTGGTTTATCGTTTTACTAAAATAGGACCGAAAACATAGAAATAGGTACACAATTTTAAACTAGTGACTATCCCTGTTATTGGACATAAGAACCCATTAAAACAGGACTGAAAATATCCGTCTTTTCTACTTGATTTTTCCTTTATATTCATGGTTCCTTGTCTTCAAAGCTGATATATCTTTATTTAGAAAGTTTCTTCTAAGTTTACAGTATTGGATAAAAAAATGATAACTGACATTTACTGAGAAATTACTGTGTGCTAGGCAAGATCCTAAGTATTTTTCTTGTCTTGTTATATCTAGTCTTCATGGCAGTCTTTCCCCATTTTACAGATGGGAAAGCTGAGGCACAAAGATAAAAATGACTTGTTCAAAGCTTCTCAGGAATGGCACATTGGATTTTAGTACATATAATTTAATTCCAAATTCTGCGCTTTTTACCATCTTATAGAATTTCCATTGAAATTTCTAGTTAAGATCAGTTGTATTATGTGCCTTGAATTATTTGTGCACTCAGTATTAAATATTTCCTTCAAGACTATACATTTTTTTCGGGGCTGGTGAGTGGTGTGGTGGTTAAGGTGGCTGGACTTCCACATGGCTGACCGCTGTTTGAATCCCAGACCTGGCGCTTGCTTTCTCACTTTCCTTCTCTATCTCTGTCTGTCTCTGATAAACTTCAAAAAATATAAAATAAAATAAAATGATGACAATAAATAAAATTATTTTTTTTAATTTAATGACTATATTTTTTTCTTGTGAGTCAGTACTTTCTAATTTTAAATTTTACTCATTAGCTTTTACCTTATCATGATTGAAGAATATTGGGCCAAGGATGTGGCTGTTACATGTGGTCTTTTGGGACTTGTGTACTTGCAGTGTCCTGAAGTTCGTTTGAATATCATCTCTAATTTGGATTGTGTAAATGAAGTGATTGGGATCCGTCAACTCTCTCAGTCTCTCCTTCCTGCCATAGTGGAGCTGGCTGAAGATGCCAAGTGGAGGGTCCGACTGGCCATCATTGAATATATGCCACTGTTGGCAGGCCAGCTGGTGAGTTATGTGTGTTCTGTAATCTGAAGGGTAACATCAAAGAATGGGGATTGACCATGGCTAATAGGAGGCCCAAATAGCTGTTCAGGTACATGTAAGTATGGTCTTGTTCTTGCTGCCTGTAGGGTTTTTTTCCTTCCCCCCCACCCCAAGGTTTTTGCCATAGAGTGTGTGCACTCAGTGGAGAGAGAGAGAGAGACACTGAGCTGAAGTAGCTGTCCATTGACTATCAGCAGGAGCAAGGCTAGGAGAGCCAGGATCGTTCCACCTGTGACTCAATGTTGAAGCCACTTCTCTGTACTCTTAGGACTTTTTCTCGTGGTGCCTTCTCCTATCATCCCAGAAATATTCTCTGTAATTGGGGATATCTCTGTGTCCTAATGTCAGTTGTTTCATCCTTAAAGATTTGTGATGCTGGGGTCAGCAGGTGGAGTGGTGGTTAAGGTGCTGGGTTCCTACATGGTTGACTCTAGTTCAAGTCCTGAACCTGGTGGCTTGCTTTCTCACTTTCCCTCTCTCTATCTCTCTGTCTCTCTCTAGTGAGCACATGTAACCTATGGCAAATAAAAATATTAATTAAAATTACGTAAATAAATAACTTGAAAAAGATTTATGATATTAAGGGGAAGGTAATTGAGAATTATTACAGTTATTAGCAAGCATTTTTCCTGGATAATTCATTTTTATAAGTAATCTAGATTTTGCTTAGCAGACTGTCTATACTGCATCCTCCCTACTCTTCTGCAGTATTGTATCTGGCTTCTAGCCATCCTAGTCTCTTCCACTTAGCAGGGCCTGTGCCATCTCATGTATACTTTTCTTTATGATTTCTGTCCAGTAAGATAGATGTATAGTTTGTTTATAAACCCCACACTATTCCTTTTCTGGCTGTTTCATTAATTAAGCTTATTTTAAAACAAGATTATTTAGCCTTCAGGTAATTTTTGTATACAACAAATAGATCACCTTGATTTCTAAACATCTAGAAATGTGTATTAATGAAATGTTCTGTGTCCCTAGGGTGTGGAATTCTTTGATGAAAAGCTGAACTCTCTGTGTATGGCCTGGCTTGTGGACCATGGTGAGTAGAAAAGTTAAAAACAGATTGTTATGGACCCAGTGAGTGGCCTCGTGGTTGAGGTGCTAGACTCTAATGTGGTTGGCCACGGTTCAAGTCCTGGACCTGGTGGCTTAGAACTCATGCCAGATGTGTATGTGCCCAAAATCCTGAGAGGAGATGGAGGAGAAGGGATTATAGCATGGTCACCCCTGCCAGGGGGTTGATTTCTTACTTTTTGTCTCTGTCTATAATAAAAATCTTGGGGCCAGCAGTTTGCATGGTGGGTAAGGGCGCTGGACTCCCACATGGCTGACGGCAATTTGAGTCCCAGACCTGGTGACTTTCTTTCTTTCTTTCTCCCCCTCTCTAGTCAAATTAAAATAATAAATAAATAAATAAATAAGTTAAATAAAATAATTCTATTAAAAATTTAAAAAACACATTGTTATGGAAAACCCATGATTTTGCATTTGTCCCATGATATTCATATATTTCCTTTTAGGCAGAATCTAAATGTAATCAGATATATTGCCTTAACAATGTAGGGCTGAAGAAACACTTTTGTTTAAGTCCAGTTAGTGTCCTTTAAATGCAAATTCAACATTTCTATTTTCCACAGTTTTTTCCCTGATCTTTAATTTTATTTTCTGCATTAAGCAATCTCTCTGCCTTGTTTCTTACTCATTTTATTACATTATCTTCAGACTGTCTCTTTTGTACATATATTTCTGCCTCCTTTATTTTGGGATCTGTTGTTTGACCATGCTATGATTTGTGTATTCAGAAACCAATGAGTAGGTGGATAGGAATAGAAATCCAAAGAAAGGCCAAGGCAGGAAGAATTGGCTACTTGGCTTTTTTGAGGTGACACAGAAAAGGAGATGCATAGTGGGGCAGTGTAGGATTCTTAGGAGTAACAGACATCAACTGTGCCTTAGGATGGAAAGGGCCTGGATTTCTGGTTTTGGCAAAAGTAGGCCCTACTGTTTGTACCTTTACTGCTATAGTGCAGGGAGAGAGTTAGCTCCAGGGCAGGTCAGAC